TATTGTTGCTGACCGTGTCCATCCCTTTATGACCACAGTGTACCCATCTTCTGATGGCTACTTCCAGCAGGATAACGCACCACGTCACAAAGCTCAAATCATCTCAAACTGGTTTCTTGAACATGACAATGAGTTCACTGTACTCCAGTGGCCTCCACAGTCACCAGATCTCAATCCCACAGAGCACCTTTGGGATGTGGTGGAACGGGAGATTCATGTCATGGATGTGCAGCCGACAAATCTGCAGCAACTGTGTGATGCTATCATGTCAATATGGACTAAAATCTCTGAGGAATGTTTCCAGCACCTTGTTGAATCTATGCCACGAAGAATTCAGGCAGTTCTGAAGGCAAAAGTGGTCCAACCTGGTACTAGCAAGGTGTACCTAAATAAGATCAGTGTATATTGGGACTACAGTATCTTAACAAAACCTGGGAAAGCATCAAACTGTTCATCATGCTAAATTCCGCCAGAACAATACTAAATATGCTAAATACACTCGTCCTCTGTGGCATTTCTTTGGAGTATATCAGAGCAAAATCAGCAGGTCATTTCACATTCTCAGGCAGAACCTGACATCTGGCCAATCAGTAGCCTTTTAATCCCCAGTGGAAATTACACCTCAAAATCTATCTATGCCAAGTGGATTTTTATAAAAGATAGATTTAGAAAAAATGTGAACCTATTCTTGAAGGGTTCATTTGGTACAATGGACTCCATCATACCACTGTCAACCCCTTTCTTGGTGTGTTAAATCTTATTTCAGATCAGAGCTGGTCCACAGATTTTACTGACTACCCTGGCACGTACTGAATAATGGGAACGTTCTCATGCCTCTGAGAAACTCTAATACTTTGGACTGGTATCAAAAACTTTTCAGACACAGTTCAAAAGCTCCTTTCCCTCTCTCGTAACTTCCACATCCATATTGATCTAAAAGGAAATAGATTTTGGAAAGTCAGTAGGCTGAGATGTTTTGCCTCATCATTAACTGCATGTCGTGTCTCTTCTTTTTTAAATCATACCAATATTGATGTGTTTTTCTCACGGCTCAGACAGAGTCTGCTGCCACAGACACCTCTCACTAACACCTGGCATCTCAATTTTCCTTCCATTTTAATTTTTGTCCAAAATGGTTGTGTGTGTGTGCGAGAGTTACAGCAGAGTGGATCTCTCCTCTACGATACAGTTAACAAGTTCTTCAGCTGGACAGTCTAATCTTTGACTTATACTTTATTTGGCTATGTGCTTCTATCAACATATCAAATTACTGACTTGTACATGTTTCTTCCATTAACAAACATTGCCGAACTTAAGTCTGCTGTATCACAGCCTGAGCTAGAGATGACCATTCACACTTTTATATCATCCAGGCCACACTGCAGCAATGCCCTTTTCACCTGCCACAACACGTTGTCCCTGGATCTTCTATAAATGGTCTAGAACGCTGCAGGCTATTAATCAGGTCCAGCAGGATGACTCACATCACACCAGTCTAATAATCTTTACACTGGCTTCTCCACAAGTTCAGGATTCATTTTAAAATTCTTATTTTCAATTACAGAGCAGCATGGTCGGACACCTATACCCTCCTAAGACCCAAACTTTTCTTTGGTATGCATTTCAATTCCTCTTGCTAATAAGGGTCAGTAGGACCCGACAAGTATAAAAAACTAGGTGTTGTTGATGATAATTATGTCCCAATGTCCTCAAACTAGATGACAATAAAGTCCCAATGTCCTCAAATGAGTACTTCCTAATAAACAGCATCTTAGCTTGTTACTGTTGCTAAAATTGGTCAAATTTGTTGCCATACAAAACTACAAACATTATTAATCATAAATAAATAAGATTCAACCATAACATTTGATCAGATTTTGGATCTTGTCCACTTGAGTATCAGGATCATCTGTAGACTGACTTGGTAGAGATGGCTGCCATCTTGTTTTTAGAGCATGGTCTCACTCCAAAGTTGTCGAAATCCAGTGCTTGGGCAGTGACTTGCGGCACCAGAAACCAACGAAAAAAGGCGTCCTTTAATGTTGGCATGATACGCTGCCAGTTGCTGCTATAATTCAACAGCGCCCGGTGGCAGCAGGGGGAAACGCAGCAGAGACAAGGATGAAAGTGAAAGCGGCAAAAGTCTGAGTGGGGCGGGCGGGAGGGGTTGCAGATGGGACCAACAAACACCACCTTGGTATTCCCATTTCGTAAGATTCTAAGGCCAAATCCTGTTCTTTTTTCCCTAAACCTAACCACTTCCTTTTGCTGCCTAAACCTAACTACATGTTTTTGTTGCCTAAACCCAACCATGTGTGTTGTTGTTAAAGGAAACAAAATGTCAATTTGCAGTGTTGTTCCGATGTAGTGCGTTTATTTTGAATATAAACGTGAAATTTCCTGTGAAAACAGAAATGTATCTTTAAAAAGGAGAACTTGACATAGTGTCCTAGAATGTCAACAACCAACGTACCCAGGGTACCTTGCACGTCATATGTGGACGTGGAAAGTCCATGACAAAAACACGTGACAAGGTCGGAGTGAGAATGTGTTGGATTTGACATAGATTAGTGTATTGTGCTCTTACTACCACTACATTGCACAAAAAATGTCCACAAAGAGGACAACAGGTCTAAGTTAAGAAGAATGAAGTTCAAGGTCAGGTAAACCCAAAATATGATGTCCCCATACGAGGACACAGGGTCTAATCAGCAGTTGGTCTTCCAGAGCTTACTGCTTATTAATTGCCCTTGTCTGAAAACAAAAGGTGATGTGCCTTTGAGGTGGTGGCCCTAACACTGTGGAACACTCTTCCTTCAGATGTACAGTCTGCGATCTCTGTTGACGCCTTTAAAAAGCAGCTAAAGACTCCCTTATTCAAACTGACCTTTGTCTCACCTCTTGCTGTCTAGTGGTTGTAATTTTTGTGTATTTTAAGATCTGTTGTTGCTCATTGCTTTTTCCTTTTTTTTTTTATGGTCTTATTTGTAATAATTCTATTTTTGTGAAGCACTCTGTGACCCTGCTCTGTGAAATGTGCTACATTACATAAACTTCACTTACTTACAAAACAGTGCTGGGTAAAATCCCAGTTTCCTTCTAATAACTTTGTTAAAGCTATGAGACAAAACCACAGTTCACCCGTGTTTGTTATAGATTTTAGTGAGTCAGCCATCCCATTCACCATTCTCCTTATTAAATTTCACCGAATAGCCTGATTGCCTACATGAAGTCTGAGGGGAGATCAAAGTTCGATCTCTGCAACTGATGAAGCACCATGGATATAATGAACCCAGCAAATGGTCTCATCAAGGAGGACATGTGACCATTTCTATTGTCCCGGGGATTTCCTTGTTCCGTGACTTTGACTTGCAATTACAGTAACATGGGAACCAAATCAGATACTTCTGACATGAATCATTTCTCTTTTTGCAATCAATTCTAATATGAAACCAATGTAGCGGCACCATCGTGTAGCTGCACAGTGTTTGTGGAAGTTTGTGAGAGAGCGTGAAGAAGATGCAGACATGAAGATGCAAACCAGCAAATACGTTTAAAAATATACTACGCAGGATTTTCCTATAAAACAATTTCTAGAGTCCTACAAAAGTATGCCCTCTCAATCATATGACCCACTAGAAGTGTGTGGTGATGTATTTAAGTGCAGTGAATCTGCCCTCTTTGTGTAGTTTCTTATTTTCTTCTTATTCTGCAGTGTTCGGGACATTCCTAGACACAGCATGCAGGTGAGGCCAGGACTTTATAAAGGACCTGGGAGTCTCATTTCTAAAACTCTGTGGAGAATCCACACTAAATGTTTGCATACAAATAAATGAGGAAATGTACAGTTAAAAAAATATTCTGATTTATAAAACCCTGCATACGCCTGCCAGTGTGCCATTTCCTTTTATTAACCCTAAATCAACTTGGAACGATTCGCACATGGACCAGCCTCATACCTCGCCCTCTACATGCCTATAATCAATCATAAATGGTCACCCCAAACCACTCATTAATGCTGACATAGACATGAGTTGGCTGATCAGTAGTTCTGTACGGTAAACAACAACCGAGAGAAAAACCAAGAAAATGAATGTTCCTGGTGCAGAAATCAAGATGCTACATGACATTTAAAAAAAGGGTGGATGCCAAAAAAAAAAAATTTGCACCCTGACGTCTTTGCTAATTTACACAATCCATATGTGCAGGTGGTGAAGAAGCAGGTGAGAAGTAGAGTACCGCAGTGTCTCCAGCGTGCTCTGTGTGCCTGACAGCACACTCCTGTTCCCTGCAGCCATTTTACACATATAAACATCTGAAAACTGATGGTGCAGTGTGCTGCAATTATTCATTGCTGTTTGATGTTATCTTGGTTTTCTACAAATGATGACATTAATTCAATCAGTTAGCCTGGGTAATGTGGTTGAGGTGAAAATGACTCAGTATATTCACGCTTATTATCGGGTAAAGGAAAGCCAACTTTCTTGATTCCTGTCACCTGCCACAGCCTGGCATCGTTCAGCTGCGCACAACGCTCTCTCGAGTGTCAGCAGCATACAGTCCGGCCCTAACCCTCTCCTCTGCGCTCTGGCGGTGGGGAACTTGATGGTGAGACAGGACTAATGAGATATTGAGCGGGATTTGATTTGAGATGTAAGGTGACATATGTTTTGCAATCAAAAGGCGATCATGGAAAAGTCATGGCTCACTGATACAAACACAAATAACACTGCTGCATTTGAATGTTTATGAAGTGGATCTATAAGAAACGTATAATACTTATAATGATTCCTCTCACATCTAATTCCACAATCTGGCTTCAGTTTATCACCTCACCATCTGTGTTGCCAATTTCTTGTCTACAAAATATAAGTACACGTGGGTCAGTGTTTCCCTATATTTATGCACAGTTTTACACTTAACGACAATTCCTACATACTACACCTTTAAACATAGCCAAAATCTAATCATAGCCAGTCTCTCAGCTGGGCATAACTCACGTTGTGAAGGCAGGATTGTACTTGGCTCCCAGGTAGTACGAGTACAGGTTGAACATGCCGATCATGAAGGCCACAAACACCATGATGAAGATGACCATGAACTTGAAGATATCCTTGACCGTGCGCCCCAGTGAGATCTGCAGCGGGCCAAAGCTCTCATTGGCTGGCAGGATGTAAGCGATGCGCGAGAAGCTCAGCACCACAGCGATGGCGTACAGGCCTTCTGAGATGATCTGGGGGTCTGAGGGGCGCCACTTGTTCCTGGCTGGAGGAGAAGAAAGGAAGAGAGAAGCAGCTGAGTACGCTGTTACTGTATCATCTGAATTAGCTACTGCAGATCTAAAAGGGTCATATGTACCTTTATCTCTCGTTGTTAAACAGTAGTTACAGAAAATTATCTGGTTACAGTTTATTTTTGAATGGAAGAACCTCCAGACTCCAGAGTTTATATGTGTTTCAGTTCAGAGGAGCTGGAGTGGGCAGTAGAATTAAGATGGAGGCTCTGTTTCCCTATTTATTTGTCAGAATAAACAGAGGTCAGTCAGGAAGAGATTCCAGTGTCTTTTCTCTCTAACCAACACAATGCAGAAGCCCACTAGTTACAAGTTACAAGGTTCATTGACGGGTTGCACAAAACACTTTGATTTTTACTTCTCCTTAGCTGAGGGACTTACACGGTTGCACAGAACCCCTTAAAAGGTTTCCTTAGTTGAAGAAAAACATTAACTCATTTATTACGTTGAAAGAGATTTTACAGCAGTAAAAGATAGTTTGTTTGCTTGGACTCATGCTTGTGATGCCTGTTATTGTCCCACAACGTTGGCTTATAGTTAGTGAAAAAATGGCGAAAGAAAAAGTTGACAAGAAAACCATATTGGCCAGAGGAGGAAAAGATTATACTTCTGGAGAAATGAAGCTCAGAATAAGTTCAATCAGGAAAACTTTCTCTGTGCTCATCCATTCACAATTCTCTCCCTCCCACACCCACTGCTTCCTCTAATCAGCTGACTATGGGTGTTCACTCCTGTTGTTATCCAATCAAACTTTGCCACGGTACCTTAAGTTGTTGTTTTTTTTTGTTAACCTTGCTTTAGTTGCTAAGGTCTTTTGCGCAGTGGTCTAGGGATTCCTTGCGTATAAGACCAAGACATGGAGAAAACCCTTAACACTTAAGTGAACATTTTAAGGAAACATTAAGGAGAAGACTTAAGAGTTTTTTATGCAACCAATTTCATTTTAAGGGAAACCTTATCTAGGACTTCAAGGAAAATCTTAACTTTTTTTGTGCAGTCAGCCCCAGATTTTACCCAGCTAACACTTTCACTCTGATAAAACTTGATGCATCAGGTATGCAAGTACAGCTCCATAATTTATGCCATTGACATTGACATGACATTTTTAATCAACCACAATCCTCCTCAGCTGCATTTATGGATTTAGGATTTAAATTTATTATATTATATCAGACTAAAAAAAACTGTTCTGAGGATGATTTATTTTTCACTGTGCCGGTGGTGGTGTGCTGCTGTGGTGTTATCTTTGACCTCACCCTCTCGCTCCTGCCCAATGTCAGCCACATCAAAACAGCCTTCTTACACCTCTGTAACATTGCCCTCTTTCTCACCTACTGCTGCAGAGATGTTTACTCATGCACTTGTAACATCCAGGCTTGACTACTGCAACAGTATCCTCTATGGTACCACAAACAATGCCCTTCATAAACTCCAGAATACAGAGAGCTCTGCCGCCTGCCTACTTACTAGCACCTGCTCCCATGACTACATCACCCCAGTCCTCTACGACCTCCACTGGCTCCGGGTTAAACACAGGATAAATTTCAAGGCTGTGCTCACCACCTACAGTGCCCCTCACAACCCGGCACCCCCTGTATCTCTCTGACCTCCATCACCAGCACGCCCCCTCCGATGCTTCAATGCCATGTTTTAATTCCCTTATGGATTCAATCTGTTCTGTTGATTTTTTTTACTTAAATATTTTCACTATGTGAAGCCCCTTTGAGGACTTTAAAGAGCACTATATAAGTCAGATATTTTATTATTATTATTATAAAAGCCTATTATGCAAATTGCAAACTCCTCTGGCTTGATGTTGAACTCAGCTGCTTCAACATTCAACTGTTTTTCTTTTTTTTTTTTAATTTCTGGGTGTGTACAAAGCAAACCTTTGGTTACAATGGGACCCAAATATTTGCAGGAGATGTTCCTAATCTTGGCTTTCAGGAAGATGTGCTTGTTGGAGGAGAAGGTACAGCGAGAGGATGGATTAAGTGAGGATAGAGGAGGCTGAGTGAGGAGGGAAGGCGGCGAGTAAGACATGAGTGGCCGGCACAGAGAAGGGATAAAGGGATAGAGTGTCCAAGGAGAAGTAAGGACACAGACAGAGGACAGCAGGGAGGGATAGAAAAAGAGGCCCAGTCAGACAGACATCACTGAGCTGGATGGAAAAAGAGGACATAAAAGAGATGGATTAAGTGGAGATCACAAACAGACAAATATAAAGTAAAGGATTTTTTTTTCCTTTTAGTATTTTGCTGTTAAACTGCGACTTAGACAAGGAGTAAATATTTCATACACAATGTGTGCACTTCTCATTGCAGATATGGATAACAGCTAACGGAGATAATAACTGACATCACAGTATTATACATTTGTATCTATTTATTACTGATGTGTCATGACAGAGTCAGACCACCAGATGACAGCACTGATGAAGGTTGCCTTTATTGGCCACCAGGAAGTGTACAGTCCAGTAGCCTGCAGCCTGCGGCAGGTTTTCATGCTGTAGAGGAGTTTGTCACTAAAAGTTCTGTGATCTTGAAGGGTTTAATATTAAGTTTAATTTTCTGAAATGAAAACAAGTAGACACACAGATCCAGCACAGGAATGTGTATTTTTCCATTAAAGCCAGATGAGTAGGGAAGGCAGATATTATTAGTGTCTGAGGCAGGTTTTGAATCTTAATGCCCCTCTTGTCATTCTGAGCTTAAATATATTTACAGATTCATAAAATAACTCTTTGCTCCATCTGCCCGTGTATACTCTTAATGTTTGTTGCAGTCACTTACACCTGTACATATGCATATGCATGTGCATGTATTTGCTGACTGAGTATGCTGTGCTGCCATCGAGCATATTTCATCAAACATCATTCTTCATCTAAATGACAAATGCACCCTCATCTTCTAGTGCCCCAGCTCGGGTTTTGAGTTATTGGTGACATTTTTACACAAACACTCATCTGATTTGCTGCTCCTCATCTGATCCAGCACAACAATGATTCAAGCACCTCGTGAAAGCTTTTACATTTTATCATGTGGTGTCAGCTTGGCCTTTCCTGGGGAAAACGGTATGGTAGATAAGAAGAGAGGTAATGTGGCATTTGGTGGAGCGGCAACAAAATTATGCTTTTCAGATTAAATATCAAAAGAATTGTGAAGTTATCAAGAATAGTGGCAATGACAATGGCTAAGAAAACAAAGCAAAGAGTGTCACGTACAGGAAGTGGTGAACACCAGAGAAATTAGTGAATCAAATGAACTCCTAGACATCTTCAAAAGTTAGAGTTTAGACTTTTTAAGACTTTTTTTTTAATGCTCGCACTGTCGCAAAGACCAAATTGACCGTGGGGATCAGAGATAATCAATAAAATGTAGGCTGTAAAGCCACTGGTATACCTCTGTGTATATGTAGAATGAGAAGGTGTGTGGACACTCTACTAAATAAATGAGTAAAGAGACCGAGCAACAATTATCAGATATATCTGAAGAAAAAACAAATAGTAATGCAAATAATTATACCAGAATGCACAGTACCAGTACAAACAGCTCACAGTAAATGATACCAATATGTACAGTATCAGTACAAACAACAGTAGACACGTAAGGGATAATGTATAGTGAGCCGGTGACTGTTGAAAAATAACTCCCGACAGGGGAATGGAACCCCGTCACTGTCCGAGGGCTGCCGTAGAATGGCAACAAGGATGTCAGCTGACCAACACTCGCTACCCGGTCCCTGGCTGCGGCGATTTGCGATGCTGGCCAGCTAGGAGTTAACTAGCAGCCAGTACAGT